CCGCCTGCCGCGGTTTTATAAATGCATTGCTGTAAATGGGTGCTTTTATTCAAATAGGAGCGGTCTCAGAAGTTGCGGGTACCCGTGGAGGTTTGTAAATTCACCCGCTTGCACTTAGAAACCGCCGGCGGGTAGCGGTTCGTACATGTATTGTGTTATATAGGATTGTTTATTCAACGCGGGAGCCCGCCGTCTCTCTCGCATTGCTACCAACCCAAGTCACCAGTGTCACTCACTACAAGTGTTCTAGTCATTCGGCTATGCGCATTGTCTACTACATACTATATACTATAGTCTATAGTATGTATAGTTGTTAGGTCGTGTACATAGCTGAACCTCTCATCGTTACTTCATGTCATGTTACGGACATAAATACTGAAAGATTTTGTCTGAAATTATCTACAGTAAATAAAATTTAGGTTGAACACCACTCTGGCACTATTTGAAATTTTTACAAAGGATTTCAAGCTTAAATAGCAGCCGTTGAAGTGAATCGATGACAGTTCTGAGTTGTAAACCAAATACTTGTGTGGTTAGATTGAAGGAGTATACATAATTAAAAAAACAGAGTTGGCAGCACTGTTACACTATCCACGTCACAGCGGTCGATCGCAGGTGACACATTGATGGCGGTCGCCCGCGACGGGTACCCGCTGTGAATAAAAGGGGCCCATAATAGCCTATACTTGCATAAACATTGTTTTGACACTTTGTTTAAATTGAAACAGCTCATTACTTTGGGGATTAGGTTTTGGTAGGTGAGAGCCAAGTTAAATAATGAGTATTTGATCGGAACTATTTTCAGCTATTTCGAGTTATCTTCAGTGTTATCTTTGCTCAATAGTAACAACTAATGTTTTTTCCTTTGAACTGTAATCTGTAATTTGCAAGTATACTGTGGATGGCTTGTTATAAACATATGTTACACGTCTTTTAATTACCTTTTCCTTGTTATTTTGTTCAACCAACATGATTACTTATCAACCTCTGGGGCAATGTTAAAAAGTTTTGACCTTTAATTTAATTTTTTTACGTAATTCGATTTTTTGGCAGTTTTAAATGCATTAAACACATTTTTAGGCTAGAAATAGATCATGTAGGTACCTTTTTTAAGGAAACCGACAAAGCAGTTTTTGAGATCTCTGTGCAAGCAAGCAAGCAAGCCGGCAAGCAAGGAAACAAACAAGCAAGCAAGCATACAAACATACATATATACAAGCAAACATTGCTTGTATAAGAGTATAGGATATATACAGCATGAGGCAGACTACCCGTACACAATGCATAGCGGCCAAACCTATTGAGATGGATTGTTAAAAAAAGAACAGAAATTAAGAAAAATTATTGAAAAAATAAGTTTTTTAAGACTACCCTTTTAAAACCGTTGGAGATCAAACTAAACTATGTTTTTTAAATACGTTCGTAATGATTACCATTAGAACAACCTATGTTACCATTAGAGTTTATTAACTTGTAAGGTCTTACACTTTCCAAAATTTCCTATGTTACAACCTATGTTACCATTAGAGTTTATTTACTTGTAAGGTCTTACACTTTCCAAAATTTCCTGTATTTGTACAATTAGTAACTGTGGTGTAGTGGTAGGCCTACATTTTAGGGTATTTTTGAAAGTGCGCCTTTACATAAACCTCGTACAAAAACTTTGTCCCCTAACATTAATGTAGGAGGTTGTGGTAAAACTAACAGCAAGACCCTGAATTTTAGACATTTTTGAACACCCTGAAGGCCTACATGAGCATCAAGATAAGTTTAAAGTTTATTCATCAAAATACTAAGTGAACAAAACTTTTAAAATTAACCTACCACCTTTTAACTTAACCTACCATTATTTAGAGAATTTTCCAAAAGCTACCCCCACCCCCAAAAACTACCCTTCTGGTACGTTGGGAGATTTCAAAATAATTTCCCAAAATTCTACAGGGTAAAAATAAGGGGTTTCAGTTGTTACAAACGATCTAACTCAATTGGTTCAGCCGCTATACATTGTGTACCAGTAGTCTGCCTCACCCTATATAATAGGATATACATACCTTTGTTCCTCTTCAGACTAATAAATAGTAGTCTGAAGATTACTAAGATTGAAGACTGACAAAGGTATGTAACCTATTATACAGGGTGTCCCGGAACTCTCTACCAATATTTTAGGGCACTGCTCCTGGGTAAGAAACATACCTAAATATCATATTTAAATTGTCCGGAAGTCCTTAGTTACTCACACAGCCGCCATTTTGTTTTTTTCAGTTATTAATTTTTTTCTAAAGAATGGTTAAACATACGAAATGGAAACTTTGCACAAACATTTATGACAACTAGACAAAACTACAAAAAAATTATGACGATTTTTCAAATACATAAAACAAAATGGCGGCCATTTAAAATTTTGTTTCTTAAATAACTCAAAACCCGTTGATTTTATAAAAAAATTAAATGGCCGCCATTTTGTTTTATGAATTTGAAAAATCGTCATAATTTTTTTGTAGCTTTGTCTAGTTGTCATAAATGTTTGTGCAAAGTTTCCATTTCATATGTTTAACCATTCTTTAGAAAAAAATTAATAACTGAAAAAAACAAAATGGCGGCTGTGTGAGTAACTAAGGACTTCCGTACAATTTAAATATGATATTTAGGTTTGTTTCTTACCCAGGAGCAATGCCCTAAAATATTGGTAGAGAGTTCCGGGACACCCTGTATATGAACAGAATAAACTGTTCAGTAAAACTACTTTATAATAGTAAAAAATAAATAAATAAATAAATAAATACGAGTGTATACAGAAAATAAAAACAAATTCAATATAAATACTATATAATTGGATTAGCACAGAATGAAACAATTATTGTATTTTCAGTAAAAAAGCTAAACATATCAATTGTTAGGTTACCATAGGCTCAGTTAAATTTTCTTTGTATAGTTATATTTTACAGCTCATCCAAATAATCAAAAGAACCAGGCCCAGACCTAATTATTAAGAAGGACCTTTAAACATTGTCTGAATTACAAAATTATAAAAGCATTATTATAAAGCAACATTATAAAAGCATTATTATTAAGCGCGATTATAAAAGCAGCTTAGTCACAACCATAATTCTGGTTCATAATATTTAGATTGCATAGAGTATAAAACACAAAAAACATGTATAGGAAACAAAAAATCATAACTAAACTTAAACAACCAACAATGGTAACACAAAGGAACAAAAATGTAATGTCAAACTTGAGACCAAGTTTACATAACGAAAAATAACGCAAACAACACTTGAGTCAATTGAAAAATAAAATATCCAAAAATTAGAAATTATAAATATGACTTCAGATTAGTATATTAGATTTAGAGATGGACGGGGCTTGAAATTTCGGGAAATTTTAAATCTCGTTCTACTAGACAAGATTCTATTTTTGTCTACATTTTTTTCAAGACAAGATTTAAAAATTTTTTTAATTTAAAAAATTAAAAATTTTTGAAAAAAATTAAAAAAAACCCCTGCATAAAGTCAATGCAATACCCGAAATACAGGAGCGTGTTGATGTTGTGTTTCCTTTAAGGCGTTTTTATTTAATTATTAATTCTTTACATGGAAATATTGCTTTAATTGTTTTATTTTATTTTATTTATTTTTTTTTTTTTTTTACATGCCAAATGGTGAGAAGTTTTGTTAGCGTAAGTAGTGTGAAACACGTTTTACTACTGTAAATATAGCCAAAATAAGTCACTCAAAAATAATTTTTAAAATAACACACAACTTAAAAATTGTTACTTTGTAGTTAACTAGTAATACTGGTGTTTTAGACTTATAAATTTGATATTATTCAAAGTTGAACTACATACTAACTGATATCTCCATTCCCCATGTTTCATATGCCAAAGAGTTATTTTTAATAAGTTAGGCATTATTAATATTATTTTTATACTGATGTTTTTATTAATGTTTTATAATAAAAGATTTTAAAAATTTTTGTTTATTATTATTATTTTTATTTATATCCAACCAGTCTGTCATAAATCAGTAGGTATTTAAAAATATTAGAAAAATCAGGTTAAAATGTAGAACGTGCATTTCCTGTTATGTATGAGAAGGGAAATCTCGTCTCAAAATTGTATGAGAAATCGAAAATTCCATCTTGTCTCGTCTCAAACTAAAAATCCTCGTCCATCCCTAATTAGATTACATAAAGTATACAGCTCTACAAACATATATAGGAAACAAAAAATAATAACTAAACTTAAACAACCAACTAGGTAACACAAAGGAACAAAAATGCAATGTCAAATTTTACATAGCGATGAAAAATGCAAACAATACTTCAGTCAATTGAAAAACAAAACATCCATAACACATGTTTATAAATATGACTACAGATTAATTTAATATGAAACCATCTACAGTCATCCAGAGTTCAACACAAAAATACTAGTCAGTAGGAAATGTAAAAGCTATCATAAAATTACTATTCCATGATCAAAAGGTAAATGGCGCCACCCCTGATGATGTAATCCCACCACCACAGGCACTCACATACTGACTGCAGACACATGCACGCTAGCTACTGCTTCTTCTAAAAAAATTACTTCTTTCTATTAATAATGGACATTTAAATTGTTTTAAATTGTAGAATGGCTAGTGCTAAATACTCGAGAAAACTATTGTTGTAATGATAAAACATTAATGGAATCATAATATTTGTATTTGTAATTGCATCATTACTCTATTAACCAATTACATCAAAAATGTGCCTTGGGATTAACTTCATATAGAAACAGGTTTGAACCTTTCAAAACCTCTTTTCATTCAGCACAATATCTTACAATATCTTTCTTATAAGATATTGTATTTAACGTTTTAAATCACTTTTGCACTGCTAACAAGAACATTCCCAGAAATGAAAATGAATATATACTTGCTAAGAAAACCAATTTTGCACAGCAAACGCAAATAAATAGTGTTGCAAATTTTGTGTTCTCTTATTGCGGCTATTCTTACCTTGTGATACATTTGGACTGATGAAATTGAACCAGCTGTCGTTGGATTAAGTCTCTTATCTTCACTGTTCAAATGAAATCTCTCATTCTGAAATTGAATACAATGATTAAGTCTTTATCATTGTAGGTTCAAAATAATTGTAATTTAACAATATGAAACTCCTGAAATTTAAAGTGAAAAGACACCCTTATGGGGTGTGTTAAAAAGAATCGTAATATGATAACTTTTTATGAGAACTGTACTTGTTGGTACCGCTACAGAGGGATGTTATAAAATATTATACGTCTTCTAACAGTATTCGATATAGAGTAGTTCATTCAAATGTACTCACTGTTTGTAGTTTAATAATTATTTCACAAAAGGAGTTACTCTTACTAATTTGTAGTGTATAGAGTGAGAAGTTGAGTATTGTGTTTGTCAACATTAGCAGCCGTGCATGTGCGAGTCATCGTGGCCAAATCGGTCGAGATGGAGCAATCGCAGCGGCACAATTGTCCTGTGATGAACGCAAAGCTATGTTGAAGTGGTATTGGAAGTTTGAAAACATTCATCAGGTACAAAGTCAGAGGCATAATGAGTTTGGAACACCTCCACCAACACTTTGAACAATTGTCCGTGTTCAAGATAAATTTGAAGAAGATGGAAAAATGAATGACTTGCACAAAGGAAGATCTGGTCGACCACTAACAGCTACAAACCCAGCGACTAGTGGTGCAACTTTTTACGCAATCTCCGCGAATATCTACATACCAGGGCAAGTGCAAGAGTGGGTCGTACTTGGACAGAGCGTTACTAGAACTTTTAGATAGATCGCAGTCATTTACACTTATTTATGACTGATGTATTTTTTTCGGCCACCATCTTGGATCCGCCATTTTGAAATGGGATAAATTATTTTAAATATGAAGGGTATGTTGTGACCCATCATTTTGAACTACTTTTTTAAGCTAAACTCAAAGCTGCAATCCATTTTTTGTTATCAAGTTTGCAATAAAGTGTGCTTAACAACTACATGCAACAATAAGTGACATTACCTCCAAACATGATGCAGTGGCTACATGACTCTCATGTAGAACTTCTTCTAAATCTCTGTTTCCTCTTAGATTTTTGATTACTTCATTCAGTTTTGTCAATTTTTGTGAAGATGCCTTATCCCATCCTCTCCAGGTCCCAATCGACGGATCGGAATCAAATCCAAGGAAATCTCCATCCTTATCCTGAATTTTTAGAAAAAAAATTTGAAAACCCCTCACAAATCTTGAGATTAACTATACATTCTGAGAAATATATACTGCTAGAAAGCTTGAAAAGCTTTATTAGCTAGAAAAACTTATATGAAAAATACTGAATCCTTTTGAACTTCATTTACTTGAAGAGTGGCCAAAAATTTGATTATTGAATCACATCCTTTAATAACAATATTACTGATCTAACATCTGTGGGGCTATGAAACAGCCAACAGTTTGTCATCAATTAAATCCTCAACTGTCTCGTGTAATTGATAACAAAATAATTAGTTAAAGCAGTAATAGCTGTAGAATATCGAATAAAAAACAAAACACCCAATGCTACTGATACTTGACATTCAATTATACAGATACCCTAGGCCTAATAATTATCCAAGCTTCACTAAAAGGCAATTGAAACAACGGCAATTTCTGATAACGATAAGGATTTATGATAATTTGTACACACTAGGGTTTCTGTCCCCGCTCTAGTTTGTGCTATGTAGTGGTTGATCCAGATTTCAGCTCCTTAAGCCAATAGTCATATCCTTCAGAGCTTAAAATGATCCATCTTCTGATGTCGTTAAACAATCAAGGCAACACATAAAGAGCATAAAACACAACATGACAACAACTAGGCCTGGATTTAATGGTGAACATTCCTGTTGCCTGCTTTTAAATCTAGACCTTGTTACTTTTTTGTCATGTTTTGTTAATAACATACAGTTTTTATTGATCTTTATGTGAGGAAATGGGAAGATGGATCATTTGAAGATAAGACTATGGCTTAACACAAGCCAAACCCGGGTCATCCACTACATAGTACAAATTATAGCTGGGATCAAAAATCTTAAGGTAAATTAATCCACTTTGGTGGTCAATCACAATAAATAACTTGATGATAATACTGTACTCGGAGAGCACAGGGTACAATCCTGTAAATTGTGTTTTAGTAGATTCTACAATTGATAAGTGTAGGCTACCAAACATTAAATTTAAATGTACGAACCTAGGCATACATAGTAAAATGTATTTATGACATAGCATTAGACAAAGAATAAATTGAAAATGATATTTACTTGTCTGTCTGTGGCATAAGCAGAGTCTTTGTCCATTCTTTGAACAATTTTTTGAAGGTTTTTTATTAAATTTTTTGAGCCCTGGCTGTCTTTGTTGGAGTAATTGTGTTCTTTATGGATGTCATGAGATTCCCCATCAGAGGTTTCACTCAGGCGCACCCGTTTGAACCCTTTTCTTTTCACTCTGACGGTATTTTCAGTTGAAGTGGCTCTGAGGGTATTTTCATTTGAAGTGGTTTTTCCAGTTGAATTTGATTTTAGGGTATTTCCAGTTGAAGTGGCTCTGTGACTGTTGTTGTCATCATTGTAATTGCTTATTATTTTTTCTAGATGGAGGATTTTACTATCAAGTGATTCTGGCGAGCTCCAGCCTGTCCACTTCAGTCCTATATTCACCCCGTAATTCTTTAACTTACTAGCGACTTCATCTGATGGAATTATCTGAAAAAAGTTATAAACTATTCAATATTTAACATATAAAATATGTCAAAACAAGTAAAAAGTCCAGCTAAGTAGAATAAAAAAATATAAGTGCCAATCCAGACACAAACATCAAAAAATTAGGTAGAGACACGTGTGTCAAAAACAGAAGTTTGGTTGATCTAAAAATGTTACATAAAAATGAGAGGTACCTTTTCTCAGATCAGGCAGAGGCTAACAATATTATTTATTTCGACCTTTTAGATCATCAAATCGACATTTTAACTGATGCTGTCCTGTTCTATGTTAAATGAGGTACGGTATAACAATCAATAAAACCCGAATTCTGATATTTTCGAACTTAATTAGCCTACTTATATCGACCGTACTGAAAATTTTGCATTGCCGACAAGAGGTCCCTTTTTGCTTTCCACGACACATATTGTAATTGACATTGTCATTATTAAAGGACATGATTAAGCTACATTTACTTACAGACTTCTTGAAATTTAATTTGAACTTGCAAATATTCATATACTTTTGAAACAAACACAAACTAAGAATATGAGAAGGTCAAAATTGAAAATGGCCAACCTTTGTTAACCCATTTGACCTTCTTATTTATTTACCAAAAATCTCAGTATCACTGAAACATTAAAAGTAAAAAAATATATATTTGACTATTTTTTTATGATTTATAGTATTTTACAGCTGAAAATAATAATAAAATTTATATTTTATATTATTTTGAATTTTATATGTATATTTATATGTATTTAGAACTAGGATATAATTACACTATTTTATATATTTCTCAAAAAAATAGGTGCATATACCAGCCAGAAAAAATATTAGACTATTTTTTATATTATTTTATAGTATTTTATAGCTGAAAATAATATAGAACATATAATGTATACAACTTTATGTATTTTATATATATATGTATATGTATTTGGGACACGTTTACACTATTTTTTACACTTTTCATAAAAATAGTTAAATAGCTGCCTGTATTACATAAATATGAAATTATTCGAGGAGCATAATATTTTGATGAACAAATTTAAATATTATATGTATATATTGGAAAAACCAAATTTTCAAATTTCATGGCTGACGTACCAGTACGTCAGCCGTGATACTGTACATCACTGACTTGACGTACTGGTACGTCATCCGATGCAAATGGGTTAAATCACAGACTCTAATTATTAATTTTATGATATAGTGGAAATTACCAGTCATACAAACAGCTAATAAAAAAACTAAAGCTGTCCAAGCAATAATCAATAAGAAATCAGGAAACCATGACCAACGAGAACTCAATAATTATTCATAAAAAGTAGTGGAGACAAATTTGCAGAGCTTTAGCAGGGCAAGGCATAGTTTTTAGTTTATTATCTTTGTAACCTGGGGCTGGGGAACATCACACCATGCATTTTCATAAATGTAGAATGAAGAAATTTACTAATACCCCGGCTGCAACAAGCTTGCAGACTAAGCAAATTACAATCTGTCCGGTTGTTTTTTTTTACTCAAATATTTCAATGAAAATAAATATTTATTTCCAATCTAAATAACATAGGTTTGCTGCTACAGGGAGTTTTCTTTTTATCAAGTTGATATTATAGGATGAAATAAATATATTGCATATTGATGTTTTTAACTTATGTACCTAACTATATTAAGTTATCTGATTTATAAATAAATTTCTTTTTACAAATTCTGTTTCTTTATTGAATTTAAATCATTCTTATCATCGACTCAATACTGTACATGATTTTTTTACTCAAATACCGTTTTATTGAAAAAAATGACCTTTTAAAAAAATCAAATAAGTTGAAGTTACTAAAAAATTATATTTTAAAACTTAACTTACTCTACATCTTAAAATTAAATTGTATTTAAAAAAAAATTTTTTTGACTAGGCCTGATTAACTTTTATCTGTAACTACGGTTATTTATAATAAAAAAAAGCTCGACTTGGGCTCGGCTCGATTGAAAATTTCAGGCTCGTTTCCCACTTACTCCATATAGGCCTACTATGTATGGGAGGAGAGAGTACAAAGTTATGTTTTGGAATTTTAAACAAACAAAAACTTGATTCTAATATGAGTTAATAATGATATTTGTTCGAATTTTCCCACCTGTGTCATGGAACTCATAGCATCAAGGGCTGGTATTCTTTCTAACTTCACAGTTAATCTTTTCAAGTGACACCTATTTTTAATCTGCAAAAAAAATTAAAACTCTTAATCTTTAATCAAATATTCCTCTTAGGACTTTTTAAACAATGAATTTGTGACCACAAATAAAATTAGAGTACCTAATTTGTCTACAATTTCAATTTTTAACCAATGGCTCCGCAGTATTTTCCGTAAACCTTGAAGTATCCATTGTGAACTGGACAAAAATGGCAGAATAGAAATGGTAACAGCTAAGCAAACTGGATTCAATAGAAAATAGAAATCAAGTAAAACATTAGATCGGACCATTTTCAAAAATCTTCTCCAATACTAGCACCATATTATTATGTAGCAGTGAGGTAGTAGGGGCAAGCTTAGGTAAAAACTAATTTAAATCAAAACATAAATCCTCATTGCTGATTACCTCAGGAACATTTGGCTTTTTATAAAGCCTTTAGTCCTTCAGATAAAGGTTGCATTACAGGTAGTAAATAATACTAGTGGCTCTGCCCATGCTAAGCTACGGGGTGAGAATGCAGAAAAGAATAATTCGGTTTTCAAAATCTACGACAGAATAAGAAACATAATTAAATCTAAGGCTTGATTTTGATGGCCTGTTGGGCAAAGCCAGAGGACTTTTATTACAGGAATTGATGAAAGAGGGCATATACACAAAAAATACTAAATTTTGACACATCGTTTGTAAAAATCCGTCCATTATTAACGGAGGAGTAGTGTTTCGTGAAATCACCTTCACGTATTAAATATAAGGATTTGAATGCGGATTATTTGCTCATGTCCAGATATAAACTTGGATTCCCTTATGGATACACAAGTCGAAAAGTCAAAAAAGTTCTATTTCTGCAAAACGTACATTTCAAATTTTTAAATAAAGATTTTTTTTATTAAAATTTTTTTTTATCAATGTAAGATATGTTTAACATTGGCTATTAATATAACTGATTCATAAACAAAAAAGAATAGAATAACTTACATGTTAACAACTTACATTACTTTTAGATCAAGTTTGTAATGATGAAGTCCGATTAGTAACAACAAAATCTGTAAAAATAACGATTGTCTATTTTCTGAAATTAAAAATTCTTGATTGCACAGTTTTCACTCAAATGGTTAAAATATGATGTTTAAGTCCACTTTACATCAACATTTAACATACCAGCCAGTACCCTTACTGCTCAAATCTGAGTAATTATTGTACATATTCCTAAACATAACTCTTATCTAAAAGATAAAAACAAAAGATTTAACTGCGTAAGTGTTCTGTTAATATCTTCGATAATATATTATTTGTAAAATAATACAGAGAAATGGTATTACAGATTGTAAACTAAGAACACTATCATGAGAAAGGACATTAATATTTTTTAGCAGTCTTGGTTATAGGTGTTGCAAGTATTAAGTATGATATGTATTTTTGGATTAGGTTCTAGAACAAATAAGGCCTTGCTGAATAGCTAAAACATACAATATTTTTTTTTCCTACAGTCACCCGACAAAGTTGGCTTCCCTGTACTGTTTATAGTACAGAAACCTGCTAATTGCTGCATATTTATACTTTGCCGTACGGTTTATACTTTGCCGCACGGTTTATACTTTGCCGCACGGTTTATACTTTGCCGCACATCAGGATTCCGACCAAACAACACAAAACAGCGTGGTTTTATTATGCACGTAATCCGTGTACGCTTGGAAATAGGTTGGCAACACTTAAAGATAATAATACTATGAACAGCTGATTGACTATTATAACTACGATTTAACCTGTCATTTCGTGTTTATAGTTTTGGTATTTCTGAACTTTCTGGACTTTTCTTTTAAACGTTTTTAAAACATTCCTACGGTCTTAATAAACAAGAAAATACCTTTAAAGCATTTTTTTTAGGCGCGGAAACCACTTCAAATTACAAAAACATACGGAACTATATTCTCAAAAGACGGAGCACATTTCTTGCCGAGGAAAAATAGCGGAGTGATACGGACCACGGGTACTACTTTCTCCAGGGCACCATTTGTGTAATTGTGTTGCTAGCTGAACCTAAAAACGTGTTGTATAGTGTTTGAAAGACTAATTATTTATGTTTTATAGTGACTGTAGGAAAAATATAATGTGTAACACGAGTGAAAAAGGCCTTTGCTGCACTCGAGATCATTCCGCACGAGCCGCAGGCGAGTGGTGAGTAAACATTGCTCTCGTGTGCAGCAAAGTGCCACTTTCACCACTAGTTACACAAATAACTATTTCCAAACCATTTTGTAGAGCTTACAAAAATAATTTTAATTTTGTATATTGAAGCGTTTTTGTATGCCTAATGGTTACGAGGTTATTAAAACAAAATTTAAATGTAAAATTCCCATGTTATACTCATGGAGATGAAATAAACTATTGTAGTTTGCTTGTTTACTCATATATTTTATTCAAATTTGGCAATTTTATTTATTTCATACTAAGCTATCAATATTTCAATTTAAAAACACAACTCATTACCTTGCCAGTAGCAGCAAACCTAATTACTCATTCAAATTAATGTTATTCAATTAGGAAATAGATCTGATAATTTTAAGGAAATATTTTAGTCGAAATCTAGTAAAAGGAAATTTGCTTAGCCTGCAGGTTTGTTATGGTGGTGGTATTTATTTGTTATTTAGTTTATTTGGCAATTTTCATTGTTTTGTTAGTAGTTTAACCTATTTATTTATTTTTCCTACGATTTAGAATCAAGTATTAGTGGTTTGTTAATAATGTAAATAATGTATAGTATTATTCATACTTAATTAGAACTTACTTAACTTAGAAGAAGTAATAGAGCATTACTATTAATTCTTCTACTCTCTTTCCAAAAGCATACCTTACCTCACGGTGGAGGATGGTCATAATGACTGCAGTTGCTCTGAATTTATGTTTCCATACAGGGAGCCCTTCCAATAGTTTTAGGGACTTGGATTTCATACTTTGTGAGCTTAGTAAAAATATTGAACTAAAAAATAACTAAAATATTTAAATAGCAGCAAAAATCTACAGATTATTTGAATATATTTAACTATATTTCACAGCTTTGCTCAGTTACTTTGTATGATGGATAAAACCTTTACTACTTCAGTATCCAATAGACAATGATAAAACATTCTTATCCACACAAGGCTAAATGTGTGTTTTAACCCTTTCAATGCTATGCAAAATATAGTGTTGTGCGTCTTTTTCCCGAAAAGTGCTAACGATATATCGTTGCTAGCGTTTCATCCAAATAGTGCTAAGCGAAGATATATTCTGCTGGCGCAACTTTCGATCGTGTGATTTTAAATGGGCATATCGGTTGACTCAGTTATTGTTTAGAAACAGTGATGGTTTCTTTCGATTCCTCATACAATCCCGATAGGCCCTATATCGTTCCTTGGCACTTTTCCGATTTTTTTTCTGACACTAGACTTTGCTTCCATGGCTAGCCTAGCACTTTTTGGACGAAATAAGTAATTAACTCTAGCATTTTTCAGAAAATTACAAAATAAATTCTAGCAGTAGCATCATAAGTGTTAAACAACATAGCATAATTATTTAATATTGTATTGACTAATACTTTAATACTTACGAGAAGTTCTGTATATTTTTTCTCTGTTGGACTTATTGATTTGTTGTTGTGAACTGTTGTTTTTTGCTGTTGAACAAGTTTCATTGCTGCAGAGGGGCGTATTGTCCAGTATCCACTCTCAAATCTATTATTAATTTGTATAGTATATTGCATGAATAAATCTTCATCATTTTCCAAAATTTCTAAAATAAGATTCTTCAAGATCTTATTTTTTTTTTGCAGCTGTTTGGATACATGATCTACAACTGCATCAAAAGAAACATGTTTTTCGGTAGAGGATGTGATAGCTTTAATAATCAGCTTTTTGATAAAACTTAATATTTTTGGTGGCATCTTCTGAAACAAAACAAAAACTATGACATACTAGGAGGGAGTGTTATGTCATTATCACTTAAAATAGAAATAAGAAATAACACAACAGAATATCACACGTTAGATACAAAATTCAAGTAATATTTCTATCCATCACAAAATATTAGTTCTGAATGTAGCATAATACTAATGGTTACAATAGTTGGTAGATAACGGGAGGAGGAGCACAAGAAAAGAACCAGAGGATGTGGCAATAGCATACCCATTTATTCTCACGTCTAATGTTCACTAAATATCACTACCCTGAATCAGGTCATGGTGAGATGTAAAGAGAGCTACTGCTTTGAAGTAGACATGTAGCAGAGGATATCACAAGCACTTCTTGGAAAACTGAAAGCCATAGCTGGGCAATAATAGGCGAGGAAACTCAAAAAAGTCCTTGAAATTCAGGTCTTTGGCCTCACCACTACCACAGATTTCTTTTTCAATTTGCACAATTATAGTTCACCAGAAGAATGTGTTTACCTACCTACTAAATAGTTGCCTGAAAATATTGCTTGAAAACCTTTTGCTTAACCCATAGATGTAAACCGCTGTTAATTTAAAGAAAATGAACAGTATTGACAATAATATTTATTTTTGACTTGACACAATTCATGTACCTATAAAAATGTAGGCCTACTGTTTGAATCAAGGATTTTTTTATTTGATTTGATTTGAATAACATGGGTACTTTAAGGGGCTGTAGGACGGAAACTGGATTTTCCCAGCCTTATGACTGACTCCAATCGATTTCTTGTGGCCTAAAACCCTATCCTATATTAAACAAAAGATAAAAAACCACTGACAAAAAAAGTTTGCCCGTACACACGCTTTTTTAAATTATAGGATAGGATAAGATTCCCATTGCATTTTTGAGGGCCACCAGACATTGAGCCCATTTTATAGTTAGCAAAGCTTCAGAAAGAGCTCATTAAAATGATGCCTAAAACGTCAAAATTGGTAGATAAATAGATTACTGTATGGTAAAAACCGTTATATACCTCACATATCTCTCTGAGCCTATCTGAAGAGTCTTCAATCACGATAGTTTCAATGGAGTTTTCAAACCAATCTACAGGATGTTCGTGACTTGGTGTGTTGGCACCTTCCTGGAACTGTTTGAAATGACTATAGTTTGAATACAGAATCCTTCAAATCATCAAAATATTGTGACGTCAAGTGCACTGTTGCAAAAAGTAAGGCTCTGAAAAAGTCATCACTCTGTTTTCAATATAGTTCAAAAGACAAAAACAAATAGTGATCATCTCACCTTTCCTGACATAAACATTACTTTTGATACACAAACATAAGTTACAACTGAAGTTCCCGGTTAGGTAAAAACACAGTTTGTTGATGTTCAATTAGCTGAATTTTACACTAAAATTTATTGTACAACAATAAATGGATTACGAAATATCAGATATTTTTTTAAGTCTGATGAAGTAGTTTTTCCAGTCTGATAAAAGTATAGTTTACTACTAAATTTGACCTATTTGTGGCGAGATAAATTTTAAAAGAGCATGGGAAACACATTAAGAAATACACTATAACTGTACTAAAAAATAAAAATTATATTCATTAAAAAAATATATAGGCCTATTCCACTTCAAGTTAAAAACGAGACCATCATACTTTTTCTCCACTTACCTCGAAGCATTTGTGACAGATGCTTTAATTATTTTTGTTTTGGGTACAAACACAATAATTAAACATTTTAACGTGTTAAAACTTCAGAAAGAGCTCATTAAAATGATGCCCAAAACGTCAAAATCGGTAGATAAATAGATTACTGTATGGTAAAAACCGTTATATACCTCACATATCTCTCTGAGCCTATCTGAAGAGTCTTCAATCACGATAGTTTCAATGGAGTTGTTTGCAAACCCAGCTACAGGATGTTCGTGACTTGGTGTGTAGCACTTGGTGGTGGCACCTTCCTGGAACTGTTTGAAATGACTATAGTTTGAATACAGAATCCTTCAAATCATCAAAATATTGTGACGTCAAGTGCACTGTTGCAAAAGGTAAGGCTCTGAAAAACACTTCGCTGGCAGTGCTCCAAAAGCATCTATATTTATTTAGGAATTATACCTTTTGGAGCAACGTCTAAATCTCTCTGTTGTCCTTGCAAAATCAAGAAAATTTATGCGGTTTTGGTGAAAACCTCAACAAGTAAGCCTACAGTAGAAAGTCAATAGTTTGAACGTCAAAAATATGGACTGTCATAATCCAGAATTGCCTCTAGCAAGAAATTAAATTCTCTACTATGGATAACTGAGAACCAAGTGTGGTATAACATGTAATACAAATTCATGACAGGCCTATAAAAACAATAATAGGTTTTATACATACCTCAGTCAAATAGTCCAATAAATGATATTGCTAAACAGCTTAAATGTGTTTTTGACAAGTTGTTAGCTTTGAAAATGTTGTCTTCGCAATGAAACATGTAAGGTGTTGAGCAATATCATTTATTGGACTATTTGACTGACGTATGTAAAAACCCTATTATTGTCTTAACAATATAGTCCAGAGGCCGAAAACATGAATTTTGATCCTATAGTAACACAGTTATATCATATGAATAGACATTGATAAGAAAATTTGAGTTTATATGTTAATAAACTCAATACTTTAGTGCACAATCAGAATATTTTTTATTTATTTACTTCGGTTCTGTTTAAAATCACAGTTATCTCAAAACTCAAAAAAAAAAATGTAATAATCACTGTATAGCAATACATCATGTAAAGAACTACAAAACAGAAAGAGTAGTAAGCTTCTGCTAGAGATAAGCTCAGAACAGAGGAATATCGGATAATAAAACAGTAATCAACTATTATTGATGTCCCTGTATTTGAAAACAAATCATATTGGGGACAATAAAACATTAGATAACTCATTAAAAGTATAAAATATAGTCCTTAAAATAATAACAACACTCGTAGAAAAGAAATATTACAAATTTAGATAACAATGACATAAAACAGTGCTATTTTTTCTTTTCTTGGGTTTCTCTTCATCAACACATTCAACAAGTTGTCATAGTTACTTATCAATCACAGACAGCTAAGCGTTAGGGGGGGGCCTATGTTGTCATTGAGGCGTAGGAATTGGCTAGCTCAGGAACTCGCTAACTCGGTCATGTGTCAGAAGTGACAAACTCTGGAACTGGCTAACGGTCTCAGTCAGGAATTAGCTAACTCCAGAACCCGCTAACTCAATTTTGTCCCGCGGCGGAATACGCTAACTCTGGAAGTCGTTAACCCGGCCACGCCCACTGCACGGAGTGTTGACAACCTTGTACAATGAAATAATCAAAACACACCCGCCGTGTGTCAAATCACTTGTACACTGCCGTATTTCAAAATGTCAGTGTCATAGTGTCAATAATAGTTATATTAATTTCAATTGTTGAAGATGGGGACACCACTATGTGCGTATTTTAATCCAAATATCAGCGAAGAATGAGTGTAGGATGAGTGGCGCGATCTCGGTGTCTTGTTAGTGACTAAGGCATAAAGATACAGTATAAAGTATAAAGTTTAAGTATAAAGATACAGTAAATGTTATTGTTTTTTGTTATCAATTCCACTTTTAACAGCTACCTAGCCCAAAGTAATTAAAACGTTACTGAAAAATCATTAAATAGTAATTTTTAGTACCGGTAGTGGAACCACGCTGATAGGTAAAAGAATCACAGAGAAATTGGTGAACATCCATATAAAAAAAACATTGCCACAAACAAATTGAAAACTTCCTCCTTTTGCTGGTTTAGTGGGGAAGTCGGTTAAAAATTACAACAATAAACATTTGTACCAGCTGGCACATATTTAATATTTTTTTGTGATGACATACAACCCTTTAGTTAAGGTTTGTGCCCTTAAGAGAGGGTTTATTTATAACTAACTCATATTTCTCTGGAAAATTCCAGGTCAAGACTTTTTATTTCAATATACGGTTGATAAGTGTGCAACTTAAACAGTTTTCTCAAAATTTTGTGTCCTTATTCTTATTGTAATTAGCTTTGTATATAGATTAGGCCAAAAAAAAGAACATACCTTGGGCATCTGCTTGTCTGGAGAGTCGTTTATAACTATAGTTTCAACCCCAACTACAGGTTGTTGGTGAATGTCTCCATCTTCCTGCAACTGTTTGAAATTACTTTAGTTTGAATACAGAACCCATGAAATCAATCAAGTACACATTACTTAGATTTTAAATTAAATCCCCAATTAATAACTGTATTGTAATTCTGAATTTACTTACACTATATTTCAACAAAGAGGATAAAGAGAGGATGAGACCTTTGATAAAGAATAAGTATAATTTAGATCAAATGAGTTGGAAAACTCTGACAGTTTAATACAATTAATTGTTAACATAAACAAACTACAGTTATACAAATACCAATTATAAATTAAAAAGATAATTTGTATGATTAAGTTGAATGCAAACACTTATAAAGAGGTATTTTTTTTGTATTATAAACTTGTATCAATACCTGGTAACCATATCAGGCTTAAAACATTTCACAGTCTTAAAGAATGCAGTGATAGTCGGTTAATAAAATGTACATAGCCTACATGTAACATAGCTGTTAACTAAAAAAAATCATATTTGGTAAAATAAAACTGAAAAGTATCAGTTTATTTATCCAGCTTTGCAAACATTCACCAGCTTCGCAATGGTAAGCTGTATCGTGCTGTCTTGAGGAAGAATCGACCTACGACGTGGAGGGTGTGTGTCAAGCGACCAAGTTCTTGGTGTGCTGCATGAAAACCACCACACGGCTACAGCCATAACGCTAGTCACTTTTTGTTTAGGCCGGCCAAACAAAATACTAAATTTCAATGTTGCTTGTATATATAAATATTTCGTGTGTGTGTGTATGTCTACATGTGAAATTCAACAATGACCAATGCTATCAACAGTAATTTAACAAGAAAAGAAGATTTGACAATGGAGCTGTTAGCTCCGAAACTATAGTAATCATAAAAAAGACTACTAGGATTGAAGACGTAAATAAGATATCTAGCCTATTATTATTACTATTACTCTTTATCAATCCAGGAGGCAAAACATGGATAAATAAGTACCCCAAACGAAACCAGCTGGGAAAAAATACTTCCGACAACACCAAGAAACGTGGTACGCAATGTCTGCTGACCTAGATCTCAACGGGGTCAGCGATTTCCTGCGTGGTGGAGGAGGACCTTCAGCAAATGGACAGAACTCGTCTCCATTGCAACTGCAACCGCAAAGAATGTGGTGACGAAACTGAAGGCTATTCTACTTTGACATGGAGGTCAGGATGTGTTGATTACGGACAACGGCACGCAGTTCGTCGGTAAATTGGATGGTTCGAGAACTATCTGATGAGTTGGTAAACATAATATTTCTCACATAATATTAATAATGTTTGTAATAATAATTAATGTTAATAATAATTAACATAAAACTGAACTGTTAATAATAATTAATATTAAACATAATATTCATCACTCACTCTACAGACGACGGCCCCCTACAGCCCACAGTCAAACCCAGTAGAGAGGAAAAACCGGGTGGTGAAGACTATGATAGCGGAATTTGTAAAAGGAAATCTTAGGTCTAGGGACAAACACCTGGTGAAATTTCCATACGCCCTCAACACAGCCGTCCATGACTCTACTGGATTCACTCCTGCGATTGGACCTGGGTTTTGGACACAAAATGAAGCCTCCCTGTGACGTCAGTGGCCCTTCATTTCAGGTGTCCAAAACTCCCCAAGGTCCCTCGTTGGGTGAGACCCATCTCAATCAACTGCATGAGATTCAGTGTCTGATCACACAGAGGCGCAAAAACCTCAAGGCCGCCTATGAGAGGCAATCAACTTATTACAACCTCTGACGTCAGTGTCAGTGTATGGTTTGTTGACTCCGTCTGGGACAGGCTCCGGGAGGAAAAGGAGGACAGCTCACCTTTTTGAGTGATTTTGCCGCTTGGGCCAGCATCTCGTGCCGGCCTTTGATGTGGCAAGTCAAAGCCTTTTTCTGTTTTTTCGCAACTAGCTCGCCAATCAGCGGGTGACTTAATCTTTGTCTTGAATTGTGAAGTTGGTGAAGACTGTAAGAAAGAGTGAAGAGTCTGTTATTCTCATCCCAACTTTTTGTTTTTAAGTTCATTCTACATCTTCTCGATAATTTGTTTCGTAAGCTCTGAAAGCTTGAGTGTGAGATTTGAATTTACTGTTTTGTGCGTACATCGTATGATATTTATTTCGTCGTTTGGTGAGTTTTGTAATAAACAATTTTAGGTTTTCGAATATTTCTCAACCAGTTTTCGTTACAGAACTTTGCCGAAACTTTAAGGCTAGGCCTGACTCTCAGACCTAATCCTACGTTATAACCAACCCATTTAGTGGGGAAATTGAAGTTGGTGACTCACGATTTAAATTAATGTTTCTTAATCTGTTGGTACTTTTTTTCTGAATTCTTAATTTTTTTTTTGTACGTTGAACGTCCTTAAGTTTGCCCCTACAGACGGGTTTCTGCTTGACTAGTTTGGCAAAAGTTTGCTTAAGTTGTCCACGTGGGGGAAAGTGTAAGTTATGGTTCTGTTTTTAAGCTTAAACAACCGTTTTATTTTCCGTTTCTATTTTTCTCGTTTCGTTTCTCACAGGCAACTTGAGCCAACTTGCTCTTAGTAAATTCAGACTCTGTGGGACTTAGGCTAGCCTATCTTAAGCTAACAGAGTCACAGAGTCACATCAAAATCATCGATTCCCCAAAACTCCCCTGACTAGAGCGGTGATTATAGGTGTGGTGTCTGGAGACACTTTAGGTTTGTTCTGAGCTCTGATTTTAACCGAGGCTGTCAACACTGAGACTATCCAAATCACTATCGACTCCTGGGAAAAATCCCCCGCAACCCGACTCGTGTGATTCCTGGGACTTTGTTTATCCATGATGTGGCGTAATTTCCTACGTTGCCATCAAGTTTCGCAGGCAGGAAATATACGTCACCCAACTATAAAGAAAGAAAAAACTATTGTGATGGCTGGCAAATATTTAATATTTTTTAAGTGATGATCTACAAATCTTTAGTTAAGGCCTGTGTCCTTAGAAGAGGGTTTATTTTATAACTAATATTTTTCTGGAAAATTCCTGGTCATGACTTTTATTTCAATATGCGGTTGATAAAGGCTCGTCCAACCGAAGCAGGAAAGTGGCTGGAGCGGTGCGTGAGCGGGAAGGGGGTGAATGACGGGCGGGAACCAGTGGCAGCGATACGTGGCGGGAAAGAGGAAGCTGCAGGCAGCGGGAAGCAGGACGGCTCCTCAGTTCATTTTCATCTTAACTACAGAGTGGTTGTGTTTTATGGGTCCATTTCATGAATCGTAATGTAATGTAAAAGAAGAAGAGGCTTTGCTCTTGCTAGCAACAGCTGAGGATGAAGATGAAGCTGCAAGACGGCAATCTGATTGGGTTCATGACATTAATCTAAATAGACATTTATTTGGGGAAATTCCACCATACCCTTCTGCCGAATCTAAGGAAAGGCGAAAGGAGGTTTCAAAGGGGGTTATCTACTATCCAAAACTACTTTAAATTTTAATAATTTTATACTTAGGGGGCTAAAAAATAACAACTCTTAACCATGTACCCATGTGTTCCCGTTGCGGTACGAGCGGGAAAATCCAACACGTTTCAAACCGGCGGAACGATGGAACAACGCTGCGGGACGGCGGGAGCTCTACCGCTCTAGTGTTGGTGCTCACACCTAACACCATGTGTTTTAAAATCCCGCGCGGGCATTTGTCCCACCACCTTCCCACTCCCACCGCTTTGGTTTGGACGCCCATACGTGAGCATCTTAAACGGTTTTCTCAAAAGTTTGTGTCCTTATTGTTATTAGCTTTATATATAGATTAGGCTGAAAAAAATGAACATACCTTGGATATCTGCTTGTCTGGAGAGTCCTTTATAGGAACTATAGTTTCAACCCCAACTACAGGTTGTTGGTGAGTGTCTCGATCTTCCTGCAACTGTTTGAAATTACTTTAGTTTGAATACAGAACCCATGAAATCAATCAAGTACACATTACTTAGATTTTGTATTAAATTCCCAATTAATTTATAACTGTAATGTAATTCAGAATCTACATGCACTAATAGTTCAAGATAAGAGGATTTAGAGAGGATTATACCTTTAATATAGGCCTAGGATAAGTATAACTAGATCAAATTAGTTAGAAAACTCTGACAGTTTAATACAATTGTTAACATAAACAAACTACAGGTATACAAATACCAATTATAAATTAAAAAGACTAGCTGTTGGCCCGTCCTACGTACGGGAATCAAGTAGTTCATTAAAACTGTATATAGTTATATCAATATTTATATTCCTAATTCAAGCATAGTTTTAGCAGTTCAAAATGTATTGTAAAGAAAAATCTGCCAAGATGAATTAAAACATGATTAATTAATGCATTAAATGAATTAAAGCATGGTGATTAAAACATGTGATCATTGTTATTTCCCAACCTTGCCTCAAAAATTTTAATAAGAAATATTTTCATAAGCTTTCTTTTGAAAGCTCGTGAGCTTCGATTCGTATACAGCAATGGTTATAGAATCTTACTTATTTCCTATAATCAATGAAAAAATTACAGAGTAAATAATCTAACGTCATAGTTCTATAGAATGTAGAATATTTTTATATTCAACCAGCTGTTAGTTTTAACAAATTATATTGCACTAAAACAAAATAAAGATTTTAAAGACTACTAAAAAAAATTAGATTATCTAGTATTTTACAATGTATGTTTTAATAATCTTTCATCCTCTTACCGAATAAATGAACGTATATATGATTATAGCATTACACATAGTATAAATAAGCCTACCCTTCGTATGTAATTTTATTTTATCCAAATGCTGAATTTGTGTTGCAAATGCTGAATGTTTACAGCTGTTACTAAGCAAATGGTATTAATAGCTAAAGCTAGTCTAGAATATTTACGTCAACTGCTAGACTTTTTCAAAATTCAAACTTAATTTCTAAAAAACTGGGATCCTAAACTTGTAATGGTCAAATTATGTTAGGGGTAATTTTTATTATATACACGAACGATTAATCGCGGCGGTTCGTCACGACGGCAACAATGTCAAACATGTCCACTGCAGGTCTCCTAGTTCGAGACTCGGCCGCTGTCACCTTGAAGCGCTGCCGTAGACGTGGTGGGGAGAAGCCGAGACCAGCGGACAGTGGACAGTTCTTGAGACAGTCGGCGGCGAGCATTAGGTTCGTGCACACCAACCTTCCTTAGGCTGTGCGAGCGAACGTAAAGTATCCGGACGAAGGCATGCGAAACATAGAGGCGAATCAGGAAGTATCGTGAAGTACACTGGTTATAACTAGCGTATACGTTATACCCCTACTCGTAAATTACGTTTATCGTATAAATTACGTTATTCATAGAATATCGTAGTTTAACGACCGACGCTGCGAGTGTAGTGTCGCAGTCACCTACGCCTACTTTTGGTAATCCAAAACGTTTTTGTTTTCTTTTAATCAAGAGTTTTTATTTATTTTCCTTAAAGCCAAGAAGAATTGGCATAGGCGCCTTCTACGTTTTATTTTATTTTATTATTTACTTATCGCGAGTTAGCGTCGTTTTCTTTTAATTCCGAGAAGATTATTTTTTGTTTTATTTTGGAAAGTGAGACCTTTCGTTAAGCCTAGGAGCTGGGTATTTATTTTATTTTCTAATCTTCGCCTAGTTATCTATCAGCCCTAGTAGTTAACTTCGACTTGGCCTTGTCAGCGCGTCGCTGTGCTGACACCAAGTTATAGGAGTAACCATATTTAGTGTATTCCTTAATAGCAACTCGTGTACGGTGCGTCGACGTGCCGAGGTACACAGTGTGTACTTGTGTACTAGCAGATCGGCGCGACAGTAAGATCTACGAAGATCGAGAAGCGGCGAGCGAGCGACGAGGACTGGTAGCGGGACCCTGGACATCTCGAGCTGTCCGAGCAAATCGGATGTAAGTTTACAATAGGTGCCCCACCCGACATAAACAGCTCACAAACTTAAATTATGGCTTCGACATTCCCTAGTTCTCAAAATTATCTTTCTTTCAACACAAAAATCATGAAAATCCGTCAAGTGGTTGATTCAGAATCGTGAAATAAAAAAACCCAGTCACGTTTTAATATTATAGATAATTTGTATGATTAAGTTGAATGCAAACACTTATAAAGAAGTATTTTTTTATATTAGCCTATAAACTTGTATCAATACCTGGTAACCATATCAGGCTTAAAACATTTCACAGTCTTAAAGAATGCAGTGATAGTCGGTTATCATGTACATGTAACAATAGCTGTTAACTAAACAAAATCATATTTGGTGCAGTGAAACTGTAAAGCATCAGTTTACTTATTTATAAAATACCTCTAATTCCAGGTATTTAAATAAAATTATCATTTATCATTACAGTATATGTGAATATCAGTAGCTTTAATGACTATGTAATGTCACAGTAAATGTTGTTGTCTTGATTATCTCAGTAATCGTTTAATCCTTCAAGTTTTGTCGTGACCTGATGATGATGCACTAACAACATTGAAACGCTTGGTCCATTCAAGGAGCAAATGAATCGCTAGTCAGTAACTGGTATTTTAACCTTTTATCCAAAATGTCTGATCTGTCCATGGGAGGTTAGAGTACTTAGACCAGGGGATACTACCCTCGTCTCCCGCAATTGCAGTAACACTCAATACCATTTATAGTATCAGCAGTACTGCAGTCATCCCTCGCGATTGGGCAACTGTGAGCATATCTTTTGGTCTCGGTCATACCGTGAGCAGCAACACTTGTGGGGTTGTCTTGTGGTCTCAGTGATGCCTCTCCTAAGATTGCTGCAACAATTGTTAGCACTTTTCGGTCCAGGCGATACCATGATAATCTCCCGTAGTTTTAATTTAATTCAACTAAAGAATATTAAACACCGAGAAAAAAACCAATTGCTTTTGAAAATAAAGTCCTGCGCAAAATCTTTGGCCCTACTAAAGAAGGAGATGTATGGAGAATTAAACATAATCAGGAACTAAGAGACCTGTTCAAGGAGCCAGATATAATTGCAGAGGCTAAAAGCAGGAGGCTTCGCTGGACAGGCCACATCATTAGAAGAGAGGAAACTAGCACACTTTATCAAATATGGAAAAGTGACCTACTGGGGAGAAGACCACGAGGGAGACAGAGGAAATGCTGGACGGATGAAGTAAAGAAAGATATGGCCAGGATGGAAGTGAATGAGGATACCGCAAAAGACAGGGTGACGTGGATTCAGTGAGTTGGTGAGGCCAAGTACCACTTGGGGTACAAATGGCCATGGGAGTAAGAGTAAGTAAGTAAAAAATATTAAAATGTAATTTTTTTTGTATTGTTGGGCAGGCGGCGTGCGAGAGTCCTTATAGGCTAGCCACCACTGGAATGACCTCAACGCTGCACTCGTCAGTGCAACGCCTTATCCAACTGAGCTATAACGCATCAACAGACTGAGTAGCTTGCAGTTATAAGCAAGCTCGCGACAACACTAGTGCTCTTAGGCCTGATTCGAGAAACTACTTGAGCTCCACTGTGTTAGCAGTACGACATCACTGTCTGGGTTGTACAAGACTGACAAATACAAAATGATGATTAGTCCTTTAAAAATGTGTGTGCATGTTAAACTTGGAATGTTTTTCTCTCCATGAAATATGTGTGTTTACATCAAATTGTTGTGTTTTTTTTTTTTTTTTTAGAGGAAGGTCTAAACAAAAAATTGAGCTCAAAAAACCTAAATTTCAGATTATTTACCATTTCCAGTAGAGTAGCAAATCCACCTTGAATTTCAATTTACTGACAGTCAATCGCCAATTTGGCCATGGGCTTAGGATTACTTTTTAGTAAAGAAACATTGGCACTTGGGGTGGATAACATTAGGCACCTTACAGTGGGGGCTCTCTCTCTTTGTGGGGGGGGGGGGGTCCTCGCCCAGGTAATGCTTACAAGATGTCATTTTATGATAGCCTTTTGTCTTATTCCTAATATGTTATTTCCTCAATGAACCGGTATTTCCATTATTGTGGTCATATTGGTTAACTTGCATTGATAAAGAGGAGGTGAGATTACTCTTCCTATTACTTACCGTTTCTTTATTTATTGAATCTTCTATATTGCTGCTAATTTTTTGTACTTTATTTTCATTGTCATTGGCATTTTCATCATAATCATCTAGGCATATAATAACAGATGCATCTCCATCTGATTCACTTGAGTAGAGTATGTCCTGTAAAAGAGACATAAATATATGTTCAAACAAAAACAACAAGGTGTGTTTGCAAAAAGTACAACAAATTTAAATTGATTGTTAAAAAGATTTGTTAAGAGTTAAACAAAGTTTTAAATTAAATTATCGTGTCACTTGAATTTGATGATGTTTAAATTATTGTATATATTATCAACTTATACATGGAAAGGTAGTGATGTATATAGGTATACCCCCACCAGGTAACCGATAGCCGAAGGAACTCAGTTAGTTAGCCATTCCAGTCTGGGTAGTTTCAATGTTAACAATGTATGTCTCTGGTGTCACTTAATAAAGTTTGTTTGTGCAGTTACAAAATGTGAGTTTAATTACAATTAACCTACATTATAGCCAACCTTCAAGTATACATCACAATGCTGCCATACCAAGGCAGGAGTGCCGAGAGGGAGTAATAATGGTGCACATTTGAGGCACTGGGATTTTTTTTTGTTGGGAAGATGGACTTAATTATACATATTGCTATTTATTTTGTGTTGAATTCATACACGTCACTCAATACTTGAGCACAATTTTAGTTATTCTTGATTAGGCCTAACTAATGTCGCAACAACAGAACTTTTTGGGATTGCGAGTTATGCTCTTAATTTTTTCTGTAATCGGGGGAATACGGTTATGACATCTTTTTGAAAGTGGGGAATGTGAAGATTTTGTTGTGATCACGGAGAACGATGATGATGTCTTAGCGACCATCTGGGAGTGTAAAGATATTGCAGCGAATGCAGGAAATATCGCTGATGGCTTCGCGACCGCGGAAAATATCTAGATATTGTCATGATACTGTAATATTTTTAATAATTTATTATGAAATGGCGACCATACGAATGTAGATATATTAAGCCAAGTTTGAATGGAGACGAGTGTAGGATGAGTGGTGCGATCTTGTAGTCTTGTTAGTCACTAAGGCCGACATGTTCCTTAGACACAGCTTATTAATTAACAGCCCATATACAGATTAAGAACGGGAAACAATTGTGATGTATTAACAACCACAGGGGAATGTCAAAATATTGCCACGATCACGGGAAATGATGTTAATGTCTTTGCGACGAGGTGTTCAGTTTACAAGTAAGCTATAAACATGACTTATAAAAATTGATATGACATTTAATACAATACCTCAGTTTATTGTTGTTTTAGCTATATTTAAGATAGGTTACCTAATTTTAACTTATTACTGACCTACCAAAGAGCTAATAGATAAATAGGTACAAGGTTGATGCACTTACCATTTCACCTATTTATTTTACGTTGAGACATAGGTAACACAAATAGACACTCTGTGGGAGTAACTTTTGTAATTTTTCTTTCTGGCCTTGTTGACTTTTATTTACTTTGGCCCTATCTGAAAAAGAAATTGCATTGTATCAAAAATTATATGCACATTTATTTTGGAGTTTGGGGATGTAAGGTATATGCCATATAAATTAGTTGTTCACATTATGTTTTTAAGGACAGTTGAATCTATAGGGCTAAACCACAGCCACCTCTAATACAAGGCCGCGGCGAGCGAAAAGTGGCAACGTTGCATCCGTGTCTTGGTGCGCGGCCGTCTTACCATTACAGTGAATGGAGGAGTCGCGTACTCTACGTACATGATCACGTTTCTACTACCCTTGACCATTAGTAATGACATTGAACTTGTTACTACAGCATGCCAGATAGATGTGACATGCCTGGATGCAAAAATAATTACGAAAGCTCAATTAAAAATTAATAATACGTACAGTGTTCTAAGATTCTAAGTGATCCGCCGCTTAAGCAACAATGGCTTCCTGCTATTCTTCGGTAAAATAAGACATCTTAAAACAATTCTCGTTTTTGTGTGAAAAATTTTCACGAATATGAACTTAGATTTGTAAAATATTTTAAGAATAAGACAATGATTCATGTAAATATAGACGCGAGAAGCGAGTTTTAGGTATGAGAATGCCTTACTTTTTCCTTATTTATTTGTCTATCTTATTGATAAAAGCTGTTGTTAAGTGATTAAAATAACTGAAATAACTTGCACTTCAAAGAAATAAACCGGTGTTACTATTAAATAGGCTTACTAGTAAAAAATATTTACTACACCATCTAACAATAAAAGCATCATAGTCTCCGACTCCAGTCTGAATGTTGATGTGATAAAACAATTCTATTAATATTGTGGAAAGCCTATTAATATAGAGGCCTAGCTTCTGAAATCGTTTACAAAATGAAAAACGTTTTGCTTAGTAACTATTCAAAGAAAATAAATTATTTATAGTGTCAGTATGCCTTCAAAGTGGAAACTTCAAATTTTATTGTCGCTAACTAATGGATTCCTATTGAAAATTTAAAATTGATTTTATTTGAACAAATTGTTAGAAGTTAGTACAATCTCAAATCCTCTACAAATATTGAAATGGCAATAAGTTAGTCCTACTGTATTACCATTCTTGGTAACTTATAGTAGCTATACAGTATTTTGTAAAATTTAAGCCCAGTCTGTCTAGGAGTTTTTACTATGTTGAATAACATACATATATACAGACACCATGAGATTCTTATGTATAAATTTAAAAAAAAATTGAAATCTTACTACACATTAAAGTCTGCTGTAGAACAAAGAAAAATACAACATGAAATTTTAAAAGTTTATGTTTAAACCTAATTATGATAATTGTTGTATAGGTGGTTTCTTATAATATTAATAGAAAATGTTATGGCTATTAAAGATTATGATAATATAGATTATCAAATAAACAAAGGAAATATGTAAAGTCCATCTATTTCCACAATTATCGTACTTAAAATACGATAAATGCAACCAAAAACATTATGTTTGTATTTTAGTTTTAGACATATTGTGGTATGTTGCAATTTTTCACTAAATAAAAAACCTAAATTCTAAATTGTCTATTTTACCATACCCTTAAATCCACTAAAATATGTAATTTAAATACTTTCATTCATTGATACAGAGCAGCAATACTCTCATTGATGTTTATAGCCTAGCACGAGTGCCGGACGCAGGCGGCGGGTGAGTGCGGCGTTGCCAGTTTGAACGTCGCGGCCTTGTATTAGAGGTGGCTGTGGCTAAACCCTTGCACTAATAGAGACCTTTAATTTGACACACATATCAATCTATGTTTACCGGTACCGGTACATTTATAATTGTCTTCGGACTTCTAGTGAGCCCAATTGCAAACTTAATCCTTCAACCAGTTAGATTATTCCTTACATAACAGACACTAAACAGGAAATACTGGCTGAAGATGACGAGGTAGTCTCCTGAAAATAGGGCTTACAGTGGTCACTATAACCGTAGCGATGATCTGAACCACCTTTTATTGAAGGAGAAGAATATCTTCACACCTTGTGGGGTTTCCTCAAAGAAATCCATAGGAGAGGTAGGAATGAAATAAGCCACGGTAGACGGTCATCAGGTTAATGCTTCATCAACAGGGGTCAAGTTTGCAGATCAGATGCACGACATGAGAGAGCTTCATTCAGCCACTCCAGTACTGTTTAAGTAATCTTTGTATCCATGACAGTTACCAGAAACTTCATCTCTGTCAATACATCAGGGTTTGTACGACTGAGACTACACACTATCTGCTAGGGTTTTACTAATTTGAGGCTCAGTCCGTTTGGTTGAAACCAAGTCTTGGCCAACTCAAAAACTTCAGATGCCTTTTCCCTGTCTAGAACTGGGATAGATTTTCTGACAAAAATTGTATTATCAGCAAACATTAAGACACCTGTGTCTTACTTCTCTGTAGAGAAGTAAGGAACAGAGGATACACTACACGGTACAAATAAGTGGTGTCTAGCACTAGTACTGGTGTCTAGGACAAAACCCCACAACGCCCCCCTTGCTTTAATTTACTACAATGCTAATGGTGGAGGAAGACCCTGTGTCCTTTGCAGTAGGAATTTACGAAAAGTGCTCGCTGTTCTGGCTCTTCCTTGCTACCTTATTCAAAATTAGGCCTAGGTATATTTCTGGCACAGCACAGGCCTACCACAGATAAAGCTCAAACGGTTTTTTTTTTTTTGTTTTGGTCCTTGTCTACGCCGTTGGCATATTTTTTTGAGGAGATGAAAGGGGGATACTCAAACGCTTTTTGAGAAAGCGGTCCAAATCCTTGCTTTGTGAGCATGCCAGGAAACGAATCTGTCGTTCTCGCACCGAAGTCCAAGACGCTAACCTTATGGTTGTCCCATAAGCGAGTTTCATCTGTAGGCTAAGTTACCAGTACGGTACCTTAATTCTCTGTGATAGGCCTAATTAGAATTCTTCAACTTTGCCAGGTCTAGTGCCATGGATAATGCATTAATAAGGTATTAATTCAGTCATCCAACACATTACAAGTTAGCAATAGACATCGTCACAAGATCCCATCGAATAAACCAATATTATACAACACATAAGTTATGACATGTAGGCCTACATAGAAAAAACATTTACAATACCATGCATACACGCCTACGCTACTAACGAATGAAAATATTGATTAGATTAGTAAACTTTCATTTGATTTTTAACTACGGTATGTCAAAATTATAAAATGAAATTGTTATAACCTAACCAATCTAGCTGAAAACAACAAAATTGAATAAAGGTTTACCAATCGAATCGATGTTTTCAAATTGACAGTAGTGTCACAGCCATGTTAAGGCCCAGTTAAGAAACTGTACCAAGGCCGATTAATCAATATTAAAGCTCAAACTATTTTTCTACAGATCGTTTGATGTTGTTAATAATAGGCTAACTTAGCCTACTTAAGTTAACTGTGCTATGCTAATATCGATTGAAACTTAAGTTATCAAATTGAAATACTTATCCTAACCTTAACTTACTAACTTAACCAAAATTGCTGATAACTTGGACCTAGTGAAAAAATCTAATGAAGGTTTATACTAGGAAAATTGGCACGACTCAGCTGGGAGTGTCGAGTGCGGTCAAGTATTTATGACTGACACTTGACTCCAAGCTGACGTGGAACAGCCACCTGAATAACGCGCTGCATAAGGCCAAATGGGCGCTCATGACGTCCAGGAGGTTTGCAGGAACCACCTGGGGAATTAAACCCCAAATAGCACTCTGGTTATACGAGGCTGTGGTCAGGCCTCAGATTACCTATGGTTCACTAGTCTGGTGGACAAAGGTGAATCAGGTAACTGTCATAGCCAAGCTAGAAAGCATGCAAAGGCTCGGCACGCTACAGGCCACTGGAGCCTTCAGGAGCAGTCCATCAGCTACTCTAGAAGTCGCTCTTGGGCTGCTACCACTGGACATCTTCATCAGATCTGAGGCCCTCAAGGCAGCTTACCGTCTGAGGGTTGCAAATCTGTGGAAGGAAGGCCTGTCAGGGGCAGGCCACTGCGCCATTGCTAAGACTTTGGCTGAGTGTCCTGTGCTTGACATGACCTCGGACTTCCTAAGCAAGGAAGCAGTTTTCACCAAACCCTTTAATGTTGAATTCCGCTCCAGAGATGAGTGGAAACATCAGGAAGGGCATCTCCAAGATATGGAGAGCTTCGTCTGGTACACAGACGGCTCCCTAATCGATGGAAAATCTGGTTTTGGGGTTTACTGTCGATCACCCAGAACAGAACTATCAGGAAGTCTGGGACATTCTTTCCAATTTAGAAGAGGTTCCCCAAACGGCAATGCCATAACGCAAAATGCTTTCGCAATATCCACGATAGACGTCCACAAGAACTTCCCTGCTACAAGTTGAACTGAGAATTCGAATGGCAAACAGAGCAGAACTGGTGCGGTTAACAACACTTTGCACGTGACCATACCATTTGATGGAGGAATCAAAAATGACACCTAGGAATTTTGTGGCCAATGAGGGATTAGTGAGCTGCGTTTCAAGACTACTTTGATTATTCTGAGACGAACCAATCAGACCAAAATTGAGACATTGTGTTTTGTCTTTGTTAAGGAGAAGACCATTGTACTCCATTGTCCTCCAAACTTGCTGGTAGTGAAAACATCAAATAAAGGTTTAATAATAATCGGTATTAAGTATCATAGCTAAGTTAAGAAACTGTACCCAACTTCTTTTTACTTTGTGTCAATAACTTAAAACCTGACCTAAATTCACCAGGGTTGCATTTTTCATCAAGCATTTTTCTTGATTTTCAAACACGATTTTCAGAGTGAAATAGGCTAGGCGTTTTCCCCAAAAGTGCCAATGGTAAAAAGTTCTTAAAATAGTCTAATTTAGGTAGATAAGGCAAAAAAATCAATACCTATTAAACATAAGTAGTACAAGTTCAGTTTTACCCTGGGCTATGCTAATATCGATTGAAACTATCGAATCGAAAATATTGTTTAATAATTGATATTTTTGTAAATTAGCC